GGGAGAGAGAGAGAGAGGGGGGGAGGGAGAGAGATGGAAGGAGGCGCGAAAGTTTCATTCTGCCGGTAAGGAGTTTGAATCGAATCGTAACATATCCTTTCGTTTGACGACTGACGGACGTCACCGTACGTCCGATCGCTCGTTCCAATTCTCGAGAGCACGTTTCTTGCTCTTGATTTCCACGACACGTTACGTGGCGTTTCTTCTCGGCTGGCTCGAGGAAAAAGAAGAAAAAAAAAGGAGAGAGAAATGTTACCGACGGGCGAGCGATTGAACGCGCGGGAGGAGAAACAACGTTGCCTCCAATGTAGGTCTTACCTGATATTTCCGACGGGGGGTCGGTGTATTTACATATCGCGCGCGTATACACACGTGCGTATATACGTATGTACTTCGCCTCCGCTGCCGCCGCCGCTGCCGCCGCCGCCGCCGCCGTCGCCGTCGCCGTCGCTTATCAGCGCGACCGTCGCGCGACCGACCGAGGGATTGGCCGAAAGGCTTGGCGAATGTGAATGCATCGCATTACGCGTGCACTGACTTAAGCCGCGGGCGCAAGGTCGGCATTTCTGAACCGTGCGTGACATCACGTAGGTGTACGGGTGATATATGTATACCTACATACGCGAGGATGAACACGCGCGTCAAACGGGAATGGCTCCCACATGTGCAGATATCTGTGTGTATCGAAAAGCATCGAAAAATGGAATTGAGTAGGGAGAAAGAAAGAAAAAGTATGTTAAATTACTTACATCACGAAACATGTGTCGTTATTTTTAAGTTGGGCTTATTAGCAGTTCAAAGCTATAGCTTAATGATTTCCCCTTTAATAAAATATATTTTACATAAGTTGTATGACATACTTGCACTTATTCTCGATCTCTCTTTCTGAGATAAATAAATAAATAAAAAGTGAAAAATATCACGCAGAGAAGAAACGTATCATAGGCAGCTCAAAGTCAATTTGCGAGATAACTCGCAAGGGAGAGATATTTAAAAACAAAAATGGAGCACTCCTCCTCCCTCTCTCGACCTCTTTTCCAATTTATCGTCCGATCGTCTCGGAGCGAAATGAAATTTAATAACGCAAAAAATGGGTCGACGTGCGAAGAGGGAGGGTGGGACGGGAAATAAAATGTGTACGTCTGAGTGATGTGTCCGCGCGTTGCTCGCGCGTCGCCCACGTAAATCTGCGCGTCGACAGGTATCGGGGCGCAGGCGGTTTACGCATACATAAACAATCGGACGGGTTTAGCTTTTAGCGAGAGACGACCGACGCTGAAACATCTTCTCGGAGAATCGGCACCGCGACACACGCGAAGAAGGCGATTATGGTGGATCCGAGAAAGTGGCGCTCGTCCGGCCGATATCCAACGAAGGTAAGGGCCCCCGCGTCGGTCTAGTAAGAAATAAGAATAAGAAGGGAGGGTGTGCGTCACGACGGGGCCTGACCACGAACCAGTCGTGAAAATTCGTAATTATTTTGCGAAAAAATACCACCTCAGCCAGGAATCGAACCTGGATCTCCTGCTTACCGGGCAGGCATCTTATCCTTTCGACTACCGAGGCATGTGATAATATTTATCGCAAATAACGTGTTTAGAATAACACGTCAACAATACAATGATACATATATATATACATATATTACAATATACATATATTCTTTCAAATCCCCACGACCGGTACTCCAGAGAGATGACGGTTCTATTCTCTCGATGGATGCAGGTCGGATTGCAGCGGCGACACCCTCCAACGCCATTGGCAAATATACAAATAATCCTCCTGGAGAGATTGCATCAAGCATGGCTCGAGCCGGGGACCGACCTATTCTCTCGGTCTAGACGAAGACGACACTTCACGGTCATATGCTTTGCCGTTACGTAAGGCGTCACATCTGTGACGCGCATGATGCACGTGTCGTACGATACGCGCTCGATACCTCTCCGGGAATCCGGGCGTAATTATAGAGCGCTATGCAGGTGTCGCTCTCCCGCTGCCGGTCATATCGCGGTCATATCCCGCAACGAAAGCGCGAAATTAAATTTATCGCCGGTTGTATATGTCGCGCGACCGCCGATGTGCCAAGTGTCATTAATGAGGATCATCCGGATCATCCGACTCACTCCTGGCGGGAGTACCGATGGATGCGACACAATCGAGTCACGGGCCAACCGTGGAGTCGAGCCACGCTTTTGTTTTCGTCGTGCTTTCGCGTTCCTCCACCCTCGAAACGCGAAACGAACGACCGTCTTGTGCACGTTTCGCATCGCGATGTCACGGTGCGAAACGTGCGAGCGAGCGTGCGATTGCGCACGCGATGTTAAAGGTGACGTGAAACTCGAGACGAAGCGGGTGGATTGTCGAAAGGCGGAGCGGCAGGAAGAGACGCGAGATACGAACAGATAGACGTCACGTTCGTAAATCTATCCGAGAGAGGGATACAGAAGTGCGCGTGACGATGGAAAGAGGAGGAGGGGAGGGAGAGTGACGGGGGTGGGCGGAAAAGCGAAAAACGAAAGGTGTAGCACATGTTTGCCATTCGCTTAACCGTCTCGCGGATTACGAGCTCGACGCATTCCGTTGCACGCGCGCGTTTTTTTCCGCGCTCGTATTATTTATATTAGCGAGCGAAGACGTACTCATGGCATCGCGAGGCGCGAGGGTGGATTACGAGATTCTCCCTCGATCCTCCGGGAGAGGCGTTCGTCAAGTCGATTTCAAGCACGACGTCCTCGCGAAAAAATGATTGTCGACAGATCGTAATTATTATTATGATATTATTATTGGCGAATATCACTCCGAGGGTAGTTTGCGAAGATTGCGGCCATGCATTTCTCGATATTTGCATTCGCTCGTAGACACTCTCGCCCAAATGATCTTTTGGTTTATCAAGCCTTTGTATTTTCTCGCTCGCGATAGAAAATCACGCATTTTCGCGCGCGATAAATAATGTTGACGGCGTGTCTACAGCACGCGGGCAAAGGCGGGAAATTTATTCTGCCCGTTGGCAAGAGTCATACGCGCGGATGAGTTGCGATTACGTCGCGGAGTGTCATTATTAATCCTCAATCCGAGAATCGGAGTCGCGATCAAAGTCAGCGGTATTAATAATCGCTGAAAGTGACTGCGCTTGTCGGGGGAACTCGATTTATATTATGCATATAAAGGAACGTGTCCGCGTCGCCTGAGAAAGCCACCCTGAAGCGATTGAGGAGAATAAGCGGAGAAAAACTAGAGAGAGAGAGAGATTCGTCGTTATTGAGAAAGGGGGAGAGAGAGAGAGAGAAGGAGGCGGGAACTAATATGATTCACCTTACCGCGCTATGCCGCGTGACTCGCATATTTTCGATGCAGTAGCTCGTGTCCGTGGCTCTCTCGGCCTCCTAGTTACTTAGGGCCGCGACTTTGCGCTTAGAACGACTTAGCGCGCGCAGTGCAATGACCTCGTGCAAAAACGGACCTCTCTCCATTTCCCTTTCTCTAACTCGCACATGACCGAGTTCTCTCTCTCT